GATGCAAACGCTGGACTCGTTGGGAGGGGTGCAGGTCACCCCGCTGGGCCGTATGAGAAGAGGAAGAAGAAGAAAGATTGTTGCGGGTGGTGATACCAAGAATAGTACGGAGTGTCGGAGGAGATTTATGGGCCTTAAGAACACAATAAAGATACGGCAATGTGTCAGCATGAGGATAATTCCAATGACTGTTCCAAACTGCATGGCTATTCAGAATGTCGACCGCTGATTCAGCAGGCCGAGAATACGTAGGACTGTCAAGGTGACTTGACAGTTTAAATCGATACCAAGTTTTACAACAAATAGCCAAGTTATGTGATGTTTTGTCCACAGGAACAATCGCGAAAGATTCTTGAAGCTGATGAAGGGCCGTATGCGGGTGTCGCAAAGAGCGAGGCTGTCGCAATGGAGATGCAGCAGCCATATTGCACTCACAGCGACACAAAACTGTGGCACGCCAACGAGCCAATTGTGGAGCTAGGGTAGCATCGCAGGATTGCCGTGCTGTCGGACGAAGATACGCAGCAATATACTCATCAATACCAACAGCCAATGCTTCAAGTACATCCCCCACTACCCCATTCAGCCGATATTTTGAGCCCTCATAGAACAAGCGACGGAGGTAAGCATCCGGAATCAGATCATACTTGGCGGAAACAACATGGCCGTCAACCAGATCGGTGCAGTTAGGAAACGCCTGACGACAAGGACAATCAGCAGCAGGTAGGCACAGGCCCGGAGTGACACTCAAGGCAACTTCCGTAAAATTACAAAATTGCACCCTTGTTGGGGCCACGAGTTTGTCACAGATACGAATAGTGCTAGCTGCCTGGGGGTCGGGGTGTAATGCACACACATCCGGAGAATGCAACACATGGCGCAACTTAGTGGCCTTCAGGATCTCATGCATATGCACAATCCTGATTAAGTTTCCGAAGGTGTCACGGGAATGGGCAATATATCGTTGTCGGACATGTTGAAATCGCCGAATAAGGCATTCAAGTTCACGGACGTCCGTAGTCATGTCTGCATTAGAAACATTTACATACAGCCATTGCAGCAAGCGAGCTCGCCAAGTGGGCGTAGCCCGCTGAATGGAAGAACTTCAGACCAAGTACCCGCTGCGCCTAGCGTCAATAACCGCCGTAACGTTGTTCGTACTGCAAGTTGAGGGCCTGGACTAATATCAATGGTGAAGGCCCGAGAGGACACAACAGGTGGAGACGGGCGAGGAGAAACAGCAGAATGAAGAGGCATGGGCAAAACTGCATTGAAGCCCGAAGGGTGCAAGGTTCGCAGCCGTCGGACCCAGAAACCTTCTCTAGGTGACACCGCCCGCCGAAAAAGGGCATGATCAATCTCACCGCGATCAGTAATGTAGAGCGCACGATCAATACATTCAAGCGGCCAAACAGCAAAATTGAAAGGGGACGGTTGTCGCATAACGTGATAGAGATGCCGATGACGATAATGTTAGGGGATTTTGCAGACTGTTGAGGGTCCGGCCTCCTGATGTGCTGGTGAAACTCCAACGAAACAGTTTGTCATAGCCCCTCGTTTGTTGTCCTCTTCTCCCTCTCTGCCTACGGTTTACCGGGCAGCTCTGTTTGACAATATATACCACGACTTCGCTAGCACCCTGCTACAGTTTTCTCCGGTCAGGTCGAGCGGCAGTGGTCTGGGCCGTCACTACGCGGCCATGCTGTGCCTCTAGTGCCAGCGGCATGTCTGGAGTGTATTTTTTGTCTGTGACAGACCTTTCTTTATTTCGAGGGTGTTTCGCTGGCTTATGATGGGGTGTGAACCGGCAGTCTGTAGAGTTTTCCATCTGGTGTGGGTGAGTGATTGTCTGCTTTTATTTTCATCACAGGTACCTTGAGGGCAGTGTTTGGTGCCCACCTTAGGGTGTCAGTTGTCGGGCAGTCGTTGATGCTTAACCACAATCGGGATTATCACTTAAGTGTAATCAGTTAGGGGATTCTGCAGACTGTTGAGGGTTCAGCCTCCTGATGAGTTGGTGAAACTCCGACGAAACAGTTTGTCACAGCCCCTCGTTTGTTGTCCTCTTCTCCCTCTCTGCCTACGGTTTACCGGGCAGCTCTGTTTGACTATATATATATATACATATATATATGTATATATAAAGTTCTGCGTCCCCCATAAGGTGATATATATATATGTATATAGTCAAACAGAGCAGTCCGGTAAACCGTAGTAGTCAAACAAAGCTGCCCGATAAACTGTAGCCAGAGAGGGAGAAGAGGACAACAAACGAGGGGCTGTGGCTAACTGTTTCTTCGGAGTTCCACCGACTCATCAGGAGGCTGAACCCTCAACACTCTGCAGAATCCCCTAACTGATTACACTGTAAGTGATAATCCACCTTAACCCCGGCTGTGGTTAAGCATCAACGACTGCCCGACAACTGATACCCTGAGG